CATATGGTGGATCCATATGAAAACCCAGCCTCAACCTCTTCTTGTTGCCATAGCTTCACTAAAATCACATACCCTAGGCAGAAAACCAACAAAATCTAGCTGAAAGCAACAAGTTTTAGGCCAACTTAGCAAAAGGTGGCTTAAATTCAGCAAACTCTAGACTTGGCTGTAGATTCCTAGCTTTGTTGTAAAAGAAAACATAGTCTCTCACACCAATTGATGTAGGAAAATAAAGAAAAGAAGCAAAAATAGTTCAATAAACTATCAAAATAGGTTAGATTTGAGTGAACCTGATTTTCCTCGCACAAAAAAGAGACGACCCCAAAACCCTCGATAGAGCCTGGTGTTACTGTTTACACCCTTTTTTTATTGTTCACTCTTTAAAAGTGTTAGAAACCCTAACCACCCAACGCCCTTTTGTTTATTATAATAAAGAAGACCAAAACTACACCTACTGAAGTTAAAAAATTATGAAAATACCCATAAGCCCCTTCACTCAAATGAACAACGAATCGACATATTCCTTTAAATGAATGTATTGGGGTGGGGATTTTTTCCATTCGATTTGTCTGCCTAGATGGGGATGGTCCCGGGTCAAAAGGTATTGCTATTGAGTCCTCTTTCATCAAATACCCCTGAGGACACATCAGAACTCAAATTTTCATTATTCTTATTCCACACATCTTATTTCCTTGTTTGACAAACGGTCCATTCCTATACATTAATCACATTGTAGCGGGTATAACTTAGTGGTAAAAGTGTGATTCGTTCTATTACCAAACAAAAAAGAATGTTCTTTTGCTGCCTTCCCTATTCATTGCAGGTTGTTTATACTTCAGCATAGGCTTAGCTTACAATGTGTTTGGAAGCCCTCGACCCAATGAGTATTTCACAGAGAGTCGATAAGGGATTCCATTAATAACTGGCCGTTTCGATTCATTGGAACATATGCGGCATCGATTTTGTATCTCTTCGTTGTCTTGTCCTCATCTTGCTACCTCTTTCTTCTTCTAATATGGGCGGGCTGGGCTCATTGGAAGTTGATTTTGCCCAATTGCTCGTTAGGGTCCTACTATGAAGAATGAATCATGCAGGAGTGGTCAGACTGTATCTATCTTTTAGCAAAAATGCTTGGTAGCTTGGTAGAAGCAAGGTGTAGTACTTGGAAGCAAGTAGGTCTAGAAAAGAATGAATTGAGTACTACAGACTCTATCTATCTATTGTAGGGATAAGCAAAAATGCTTGGTAGCTTGGTAGAAGCAGGGTGTAGTACTTGGATGCAAGCATGTTCAGAAAAGAATGAATTGAGTACTACAGACTCCGTCCTTATCTAAATATTGACCAAAAGTCATCCTCACTCCTGAGGATTCATTAAGGGTAACATTATGATATACAAGGCAAAAGAAAAAGGCTTCATTGCCATGATGCCCATGCCGTACCATACCGAGGAGTGAGCTGGGCTCGAACGAAGAATAGTGCCAACTCCACTAGTGCGAGGGCACAAGGTGTACCTCTTTGTCAGCCTCAACATATCCAGTTCTGCTGGACGAGTGAAAGGAGAGAACAACAGACTAGTAACAACCTTAAGCTCCCCAATCACCCCCATGATGGGGTTGGGTCCCCACTTGTCGCCCGATGAGACTTAGATTAAATTCAAAGGCTTGTGATGCGTGGCTAAATCCAATTTCTCTAAGGAACTATTGCCGAGGTCTAAAGGCTCACGTCAACCTACTCTAATCTAAGGCTACTTAGAAATATATTATTTAAGGCTTGTTATTATCTATCTCTAGCAAATCTATATCTAATTAAGACATCTAGACTCTAGATCTATCTAGATTAGAACTATACGAATGATTTTTAAATGATAAATGAGGTGAAAGACTTATGACATACGTATAGTACTAGGAAGTAATGTGCCTTAGGGACTTTTTGCTCCCAACGCATCATGTGCTGTTTTTAACTTCCTTGTGGACCAAACGAGCGATGAAGCGAGACTGAATCCTTATCTCGAAGAAGCCAATGATTCTGATTAAAGCTAGTGACAAATCATGAGCCTACATATGATGAGCATCCAAATGTATTGAGTGATGAAGAAAGTTGATCAAAGATGTATACGATGGAAATCTAAATTTTTATTGTGATAAGGATTAAACTTATAAAGCTCTATATCAAGTATAAAATCCCTTTTCTAGGAGAATTTTCAATTGGATTGAAACTCTTGTTCATAAAGGATTTTTTGTTCAACCACATAAAAATGCATACGATATTATTATATGGAAATCTAATGAAGGTGAACCAAAGTGAATAGGAGGACTGCAACTACCAACTACCAAAAAGTGAAATCAAAAGTACAAAAGGATATGCAAAACAGTTAGAACATTAGTCTTAGTAAGAAAGGATCTTGCAACGAACCCGAGGTTGAGTTCTTTTTGAGAAGGGGTGACCGTGCCAACATCATCCGAGTGGCAAAACCTTTGATTTGTGTCCAATTTTGGGGCTTCAAGTTGCATTTTAAAGATCTTTCAATTATACACGAGGGTTTTTTTTTCTACGGTTTTTCAAAATTTTTTTGTTTCAGGCCTCAAATCTTAGTTTAAAGTACATGCCCCAAAAGTAGTGGCGAATTTTATTACTAATTGGGTTTTTTTGGTATTTATTGGTTATTAGCGTATCCCTAGAGTTTTAAATTGTTTACTTTGATCTTAAGTTAGGTTTAGGGTTTATATGCTAATAAATAGACTATTATATGCTCATTATAAGGAGGATGGAAATTTTATTGAAATTATGGTGGAACTTTTGAGTTCTATAGATATGAAGCTCGTTCAATGGTTGTTTCTCTCTCCCGCTTTTGATATTTTCTTCTCGCCCCCCTCCGACTTTAGATGCATCAGTTTTATGATGGAAAACCCAGGTTTGCCAAGTTTTCTATTTTTAACATAGCAAAGTTGGTACCAAAATTGTACATGATTTTGTGGGAGTATATGTCCTCTCTATTGATTTAGGCTCAAGTTCTAATCCTGCTGATAACATAAAGTGTTTCTTTTCCAAAATTTAATGGACTTATGGGAGTTCTCCCAGTTAACTATTTGAGTTGGCATGTGACTCAGTTTTTGTCATTGTTCGAGTTGGTAACCTAGTTCGAGTTTTTGAACACTGCTTAAAACCAACCTTCTCTTTGTCGACGATCCAAACCGCCTGGCTACAATTTTCCTTCATCACATTCCGCCTATCCAATCTTTAAAATTCCTCAATTTGGTTCGAGGTAGAGGATCACATCCTGCTTGTGGTCTTGCTTGGGTTGAAACTTGCGAGAGTATTCTGAATATCTGTTGCTTTAATACTATTCATGCCTCATCTTTGTTATATCCATGGAAACATCCTCGGTGGGCTCAGTCGAAGTCCTTGCTCTGTGATCCTTAGAGAAATCTGTTTTTCCTTCTTTGTTTTGATTTCATCCATTGTATGTGAGTAAGCGCTAAAGAATGGTGCTGTTCGCATTTCCTTTCATGTGCAGTGGCAGCCAATGAAATAATCCACACTGTGAAAGATGCTTAAACAGATATAGGTGAATGTTTACTTTGCTGAACCATAATATAGCCATTTTCTCATCATCCTGCGGGCAAGATGCTCATTAGCCATCATAAATTCACAATGTTTTATGCTTGAAAGTGTTACTTATGTCTGTCCCTTTCTTTTTTTTGAAACGGAACTTTCTTTAAAAATTTCCAAAGGAGTCGATAAAGAAAGACTGATAATTCTGTATTGTCTTCGAAATACCTATATATTGGCTTCAATTTTGGTAATTCAGGGGCTTTTTCCTTTATTTTTTATTATATTTTATTTCTTTGTTTATTTTTTTTGAGAGGAGAGAGATGAATCTGCACAGAGAAAAAATTCAGTGGACTTATGGGTTTGGGAAAATAATTAGACTGATGGATTAAGAAAGGAGAGGCAACACATGTTTTTTATCTCTGTGCTGGATGAAAGAAGATGGCAGTTGAAGGGCAAATATGATGAAAGTTAAAGAAAGAGATATGCTGGAATATGGGTATGAAAAATTAGGTTTCAATGACTATTTGGAGTTGGAATCATAGGGATGTATGTGACTTAGTTTCGGAGATTTGGAGCTAGTAAGTGAGAGAGAGTTTAAGAAAGAGATATGCTGGAATATGGGAATGAAAAATTAGGTTTCAATGACTATTTGGAGGTTGGAATCATAGGGATGTATGTGACTTAGTTTCTGAGATTTGGAGCTAGTAAGTGAGAGATGTAGAGGAGTTTGAGAGTGATCATTAACCTTAATCAGGTTTATGGTGAAAATTTTGTGAATAAAATGGATTGATATGAATCTCTGTTGTTTTATTTCTTTGGGTTCCACTACTGTGCTCTGTTTTCATGAATGGGATAATGAAGCTCATCCTGTCTTTCATTCTGGTATGAGGAAGCATAAAAATTGTCGGGAGCGTTAAATTAGAAATGATGCAAATTCCTCTAGTTGAATGTGATTATGAATTTAAGGAAATAAAGGAACACATGCGACAAGAATAGTTTAGGGAAAACAATACTTCGATGCTCATTGCATGTATGGATAGAGATGCTGGTCGTATGGGTTTGAATATTCAATCCCTAGTTGGCAGGAAGTGGATATCAAACACACAGCCGACAATGGATTTGATTGGAGATATATTCATACTCAAAAAAACCATATGAACCTGGCTACTTAACACCAACACCAACCAGCTTGGCATTCTTTGATATGCACCTATGCAGGTTTATGTACACTGTAAATGTGGACAAATCTTGAACCGTCAGATGACTTTGCATCTCAGAAGTCTCCTTATCTTTATCTGCACGTATTCTCTTTCCAGTTTCATCATTTCCATTTAAGGTTTATATGATACTGTTATTTTCAAACAATAACACTAGTGAGTTATTTTTGTACTGCAATTGCATGGTTTGAAGTTGTCAAAGGTAAAAGTTGATGCTTATGGTCATTTCAGGACGAAGAGGAAACGAAACCTATATTAGCCAAAACCGATCCAAGGGAAATACAAAAGTTCTACCAGCAGTTCTATGAAGAAAATGTCAAAGAAGGCCCTGTTAAAAGAAAACCGTGAGGAACACCTTTATGTGCTCTAATTGACAATTATTATTATTTTCTTTCAGCAAATGATGCTATAGTAATGCAATTAAACTCCAATATATGTTGTCTGTTTCATTTTTCTTGTCCTAAATTTCAGCGAGGAAATGGCAAAAAATTATCAGATTGCAACTGTGCTGTACGATGTGCTGAGAACTGTGGTTCCTCATGAGAAGGTTGATGATGAGGTAAGATTATAATGTTAATATCTTGTATCAGATGTCTATAACTTGTCTCAGAAATTTTTTGTCAATGAAAATGTTTATGATATGAGAAGAGTGCAGAACTCACAGTGCTGCAATATCTTTTGTAGATAAACAGATATGCTAAAGAAGTTGAGCTTAAGAAGGAGCATTATGTACAGTACAATATTCTTCCGCTTCATACTTCAGGTGCTACTCAACCAGTCATGGAACTGCCTGAGGTATAGGTCATGTTAGCTACAGTTTGATATCTATCTTGAAATTGTGCTAGGTTTGTTCCATAATATTTAATTCTTTTGCTTTCTGTGGCTACTAGATTAAAGCAGCAGTCAATGCTTTGCGCAAGATTGATAACCTTCCACAGCTTTCACCTAATGCTCTACGTACGGTTGATGATAAGGAGAAGTCAGTCCATGATTTGCTTGAGTGGCTTGGGGTAGTCTTTGGATTTCAGGTGAGTAAAATTTTTTCATTATCACTTTTCAGTTTTCCTTACATGTTTGGAATATATTTATATGGAATGTTTCCCGACAACCACCCATCATCGGGGATGTGGTTTCTGAAAATTAATGCATACTATGGTTTTATCTCATCCTGGAAATTCTGCGTATAAAGGATGGGAATGTGGCAAATCAGCGTGAGCACCTAATATTGCTACTGGCGAATGTCAGCATAAGGAAGAGATCCTCCCAGGAAGAGAATTTCCAGGTTCTATTTTTTAATTTTTTTTATACTGGGATATGTGTTTCACTGCTTTTTCTCTTACTGTCCTCTCTACTGAATTTTGAATTGGATTATTGATATTATGTTACTTCTCTGTATCTACAGTTGGATGGTGCTGCCGTTGGATATGTGAAGGACAAGATATTCAAAAATTATTTGTCATGGTGTGCATATTTGCATGTTAAACCTAACCTTAAGTATGTATATTACATTGGATATACTGCCATTTAAACTTTGAATTTTGAAAGTAATGGTGTCTTATTTGCAGATTCTAGTGTTGTTACCCACTTATCTCAGTAAAAATGTTTTCTACCTTTACCCACTATTGGATGTTGAAATTAATGTCTTCTCTTTGTTCCGTTCTATGCAGTGTCCCAACTACCCCAGAGAGACAACAGTTGGAACTCATGTACATTGCACTCTATCTTCTCATTTGGGGGGAAGCGTCAAATTTACGGTTTATGCCTGAATGTCTTTGTTATGTCTTCCATAAAGTAAATCTTCCTTAGATTCCTATGATATTTTATGCTCTCAGCTTGATATAATTTGATATGTCCAAGCTCTTTTGGAATTCTTTTATGATGGTCTATGATGTTGGCTTAGATTTTACTTTTTATGTTTCTCTAGTTCAATCCATGATAAACTATAGAATTATGGGGCCTCAATTTTGTCTCTAGCAACCTTGATGGTTTTTAGCTCTGGGAGCCTATGAGATTGGCAAATATATATACATATTTATTTATTTACTTATTTATTCTTTTGATAGATTTATTTGGTCCTAAAAAACACATAGTAATATTCACGGAAAGTGTGCTTTTGGGTATTCGTAATGACCATTCACCACGCATGCTTATCCACAAATAGTGGATGTGTGACATTGTCCCCCTTACAAATGAGGGTGGACTTATAAGCAGACAAAGGTTTAGTTTTATCGTCTATTGATAAGTGTGGATGATTAATGGATGTCTGGTTATCCATCAATAAAGTTACCGCAAGTAGGACATCGTCCTTTGCCAATTACCTTAGACACCACCTTTTGCTTGTGGTTAAAGAGATGCTAGTGATGCCCACTGCCCCATTGGGAAGTATATGTGGGCACATTCTTAAGTTGGTGATTGGGGGGTCCTTTCACTCCATCTATAGCTTGAGGCGTGTTTTCTATAGGAGATGGGCAGTTAATTTATTTTTCATAAGGAATTAACCATAAAACAAAGCTGTTGTTTCTGGCTTATATGCATGTTGACCAATTATGTTATCCTCATCTTACGAGTGTGGTGACTTGTTGCATTCATTGTAAGAGAAAAGGGATATCATGGCCACAATAAAAGGAAGCATAGGTGAAAATCGAAAAAATTCGAGCTGGAGGGACTTATTTGTTAGGTGGCCCCAACATTTGAGGGTGAACCTGTGAATTGTGGGAGAGGAATGCAGTGTGAGAAATGTGAAATATGGATACTTGAAGAGATACTGGGACAATGTGAGAACAATGGTTGTCATGGAATGTGGGATGTAAGGTGATGACGACATATGGTAACGTCCTAGGATTTTTGTGTATTTCTGTGGTATTTTTTACCGGGGTGCTTAAGAGTTCCTCTTAGATTTTTCCCTTTCCGTGAATCATAGCTGTTCAGGTGAAGAAAGATAAGGTTGACTAGATTTTGTTGTCTTGCAATTACTGCCTATCTTGGTTGATTTTGACAGGTTTGATTGGGAGACACTTAATTGTATCTATTTCTTTATGTCAATTGGCAGATGCTATACTTATTTCCTTCGAGAATGATTGTTGTTCGACTTGTCTTGTGTAACCATTGCTACAAAAGTTTCAAAGGAGCGGTAATGTAGGCTTATTGCAGTTTCCTAATAGTTGATGGGTTGGAATGGACTTAAATTATTGAACAGGTGTGCCCCTAGTTGAGGATGTGGTTAGATGAACTCATTCTTTTTTTTGGGTAAGTTAGTGGGGGAGAAGGTCCCTACTCGATTTTTCATTAACAGATGTAAAAAGAAGAACAATTAACGTGCAACCCTATAATAGGGCATTTGTACCATGTCATGTAGTAAAAGAGGAGAAAGAAAATCTAGTGGTCTACAACGCCACACAGTAGCACCAGGCCAACATATGCTCTCTCAGCGAGCGCATCAACAACCATATTTGCCTCCTGAAAATATGTGCAATGGAAAGTTTGGTATGACAGTTATCTGCAATTGTCTGTAGCCGCCATGGAGCATGGCATCGATTCTGAATGACATTCACAAGTAGGGCCGAATTGCTTTCAATCTGAATTGGAAAGCAATTTCTCTGATGAACCAACTGAATGCCTTCTTCAAGGGCCTAGAACTTTGCATGGTTATTAGAAGCAAATCCAAAATGTTTTGCAAAAGCCGCAACAAAACCACCCTCACTGTTCCTTTTGACTCCACCTCCACTTGCTAGACCTGGATTTCTCAAGGAAGCACCATCAATATTGAGCTTGCAATTTTGAACCTCAAGAAATGACCACGCCACTGGGATACGATATTTTGGCTTCTGTTGGTGCCAATTTATCTGAAGTTTACCTATAATGGTTTTTTCTGATAAATGGAAAGACCACTTTTTAATTTCTGCTAGTGCTTGAACATGTAAGGTAATCCGTTTCACAAGTTGTTATCTCCTGGTGGCTTCTGGTGCTTGAACATGGAAGACCAGATATTATGAAGACCATGAGATTTAAACCTAAAAAGCAACCACCACTTAAGTAACTCAGGGGCAGAAGGACCAAGGACGAACCGTTTTCCACATCTCCAGGCTAATGATCTCCATACTCCATGAGCAAAGGATATTAAAATAATAGATGAAAGAGGCTGTCGTCATGGTTGCTACAGAAGGGACATAAGAAATCCAACTACATACCCCGCTGCTTCAATAAAAAAGAACATGTATTCATAGCAATACGTTATGAAAAAAGAATATTTAGATGTCCCTGCTATTACACTTATACGTTAATTATTAAACATTTATTATTTTGAATTTCCTTCCATTTTGTGTATGAGGGGAGTCTATTATTATTGTCTTTCTCATTTTAGTTACAGAAGTAGTGGATAGGAGCTCTTCTGAAGGTTGAACAGCTTCCTTTGGCTAGCTTTTAGTGATGTCTCCTTTTTTTTTTGCTTTGTTTTCTCCCTATTGATGTTTGAAATAAGTTAAAAGAGGTCTAAATCAAGTTGTGCTGAAGATGAGTACAGAGAAACTAAGTTGTATACATCGAAGAGGAGGATGGGAAGAAAGTGGAAATGTAGGGAATATAGAAGTGAGAGAGATGTGTCTAAGATAAAGATGAGGGACCATTGGGACCTGCAGTTAAGTCCTATTATGCTCTTGCAAACTTGCGGCCTGATAATGAGTGTGCCAGCAGGACTTCAAGAATCCACTAAGATGCAATATCTCTCCATTGCATCAGCAACACACCATGGATACTCAGTTTCCTTCTTAGTCCACCTTATCGCATTGATCTAATCTCCTTTGGTGAGTAATAGCCTAGAGAATGATGCAAAAAATATCCTCAAACCCTCCAAAAGGACTAAGGCCTCCACTGTGGTTGCATCCCAAAACCCTGTAAGGCTAGTGAAAGAGCTCCGGACTCTACCAATACAATCTCTAGAAGCACCCCTTACTGGTGTTACTTTGGAGGTACATATTTGTTTAGCTTGATGACGCCATATTTTGGTTGATTAGCACATAAAAGGAATGTGGATTTACTGATGCAGCTTAGGGGCCTAAATCAGCGGTGGAGGTAAGAATGTGAGCAATGATAATAATTCCTGGCGATTTGCCATTTGCCTTCCGAAGGGACAGAAGCACCTCTTTTTATGAACTTTTAGCCTCGCATCAAAGGCTCAAATTGCAGGCCATTTTACGATCCAATTGATTTCTCTGTCCATGATGAACTCAAAACAACATAGTTGACTTACAATTTGAGATTCTCAGTCTTTTTTAGTCATTGTTCATGCTTGAAAGCAGTATTCTGGTCATCTTTCTGACCTGATATGAAAAGATTTAGTTGAGCACATTGGGAGAGTGGTCCTTTTTATGGAATCATGACTACTTATTGCAAAATGCAAATCAATATTTGTGTGACTAGTTACATCCTCATAAATAAGAATTATGTTTATATTTGTAGTAACCTTTGGGCACTCTTTTGATTTTTGATGGTTTTGTCTACAAGATGGCAGATGAACTTTATGGAATATTACTTGGTAAAGTATCTGCCGCCAGTGGGGGTGATTACAAGCCAGCGTACACAGGAGAAGAGGCATTTCTGCATGAAGTCGTGACTCCAATTTACAATGTCGTGCGTGAGGTATAACAATTGAATTGACTTCTTTTCTGCATACTTTACCTTGCTCCTCTCAAATTGGTTTAAGGTGCACATGGTCATATCTAATTTTTTTCTGGCATGGCGCAAAAAAAGGAAGCAAAGAAAAGTAAAGGTGGGACTGCTAGCCATTCAAAATGGAGAAATTACGACGATCTAAATGAATACTTTTGGCAAGTATTACAGAACTTGAACTTGTTCTTTTGCATGCTATTTTGGCCGGCTGGATGGTTGCAGGATAATAGTGTTGCTTTTGCAGGTCAGATAAATGTTTCAAAATTGGATGGCCAATGAACCTTGAATCTGATTTTTTTGTACATTCCAGAGAGTTGCATGCCAAGGATGAGGTTTATTCCCATTTTCTTTTTACTTTTTCTGCCATTTTTGTATGCATACATGCTCAGAGATATACACTGTTAAGACCTTTTGTTATGCCACATGTTCTCTGCCAATAAACATACTGAACATGCATTTAGGTTCTTCCCTAACCAAAAGAAAGTGTGGATTAGCTTGTTTATTCTTTTAGGGACAAACAACAAGGCTTTGCCCTTGTCCTGATGTCTATCACTAAGCTGAGGATTAAGGCACTTATTGCTCTTCCACAACCAGTCATGAGGAGTTTTTGAGTTGAATGAAAGTAATAGTTATGATATGAGACAAATTGTTGCCCAGATATCATTTTTGATGCTTCTGATGATTTGATCTTGTATGACAAGTTTAATGCAGTAATCCATCTTAAACAAGCTATGAAATTGTATGAGATGTTTATAGTTATTCCATGCATATAAAACCTTGATGATTTCAATGCTTATAACATTGTGGTCAATGGAAAAATCTTAGTGATGAAAGTGCACAAGATGTTCAAAGTTCTGCAGTGCATGAATTAGATGATTTCTATTCTTATTTCTGCTCAATGGAAAATCTTAACATTGCGATCTGAATGTCATTGTTCAGAATCCAAACTTAAAATTCTCACATAGGCTGTTACTGTTTTATATGGTTGAGTGCTTTTAGTGAATTTGTAATTGTAAACATGATAATTACTGTGATTATTATGTTAGAATGGTGAGTGACCTATGGGAGATTGGGTAGAACTGTAGGGAAATGTGCACTGTTATTCTTTCCTGTTGGTTTTGGTTTGTTACTGGGAGCCTTTGTCCATCCCCTCGAGGGTCATAATT